AGTGGCGGGGCGGGGCGGGGCGGGGCGGGTCAACCCAAATTGCCACCCCTACTTGTTACCTACATTTACTACACTAGGACTATTAAAATTGTGACATTGCTTTCTCATATTAACGGTGAGGGAAAAAGAAAGGATAGTAGGATGATTAAGGACAAGAGGGTCAAAGCATTGAAGGAGGAATGTGTTATCCAAAGCCAAGTCAGGCATTTAGGCTTACACAGGCATGGGGCTATCAAGTGCCAACTAATCCATGACACACTCTGCTCGTGCCCTCCTTGTGCCTTTCTTATCTTTGAAACTTTGTCCCAACTCTTTTACCTTTTCTTTTCCAATCTTCAATTTCAAACTAACACCTTGATTGTGACTTCCCTACTTGAAATAAATTCAACCCAAAAGTTAAATAAATATTCATAGCAAGTTTATTATCTTTCTTCTTCTATGTATGTGTTATTTTTCTTTTTATACTTGTTGTTTTGCACACAGCATTATTCTATTTTCAGAATATTTATTGAAACTCGTGATTCCTTTTTTCTTCCCTCTCTAAACAAAAGTATAGACTAGGTGCATGCTATTATGTATATAGAAACTAATGATTCCTTTTTTTCTTCCTTTCTCTGAATAAAAATACAGACTAGGTCTAACAAAATTTGCAAGACGTATTCCAGATAAAGTCAAACAAAAAACAAAACTAACGGTACGTTTAATTGTGTTTTTTTTTTTTTATTTCTTAAAATTATTTTGTAGAATGGTTAACTAAACATGTATTGTGTCTTTATTATTTTGAAAGTTAAAAGTCAAAACACAAAATAAAAACAAATGAGAAATGTTCTCTAAACTTGATTCTAAAAACTAAAAAATAATTATAATTTTTAAAATTATTTTTACAAAACAGACCTCATCAAATATATTTTTTTCTGAAAATCACAAAATTATTTTTGAAAACAGAATTTTATTTTTCTTTCTCCTACGTTTTAGTAAAATTGTTTGCAAACCATGAAGCAAGGTAATTCTCTTATAAATATAAAGGTTATGCTTATTTTACAAATTATAATTATTATATATAAAATAATTATATTTATGTGGAGTGCAAATCTTGATCATTTTTATTTCATAAAAGTTAGTTAAAAAATATTTTAAACTTTCCAAATTCCAATGAGTAACAATAAGCGAAAATTGAAACCTTTGAAGCGTAACTTAAAAAACTTTTAGTTCACACATGCAGTTTATAAAATTAAAAGAGGAGATAAGTATCGAATAATTTTAGTTCTGTTTACAAATAAAGATTAAAAAGTATATTTGTAAAGAAACTAAATAAAAATTGTATATTCTTCCTTCTAAAACTCTTTTATTTACTCGATCGAATAGCCTGCAAAACAAAATAAACCTCAGGACATGCTATTTAGTATTTTCCCCCCTTCTCCTAACCTGAAAAAAGAATATTCCAAGTCGTTTGCGTATGTGAGTGAAGTGATGTATGTATAGAACCACGTGACACTACTCTAATCCATTCAATTTTGTCTTGTAGCGTTCCAACTTCCAACCTCATGTTTTCAACCATGACAGAAACACCACTTTCTGATAAATAAATCTCTTTTGCTTATTTTTTTTAGGGAAAAGTGTCTATACTTTTAAATTACACAACTTACATCCTTTCACTCTCACAAAGAGGTGGGACCCACAACTTTATTTTTTTTTGTCAACTCTCTCTCCTCCTTTATCTATCTCTTTCTCTCTCTTAAAATGACACAACTTTACATCCTTCAAAATTATACACACTTTTCCCTTTTTTTTATGGGATTAATACTTTTCATATTTTATCTTTTATATATGTATAAAAATATATATGATCATCTAAAAATAAAAAAAATTATGGATCTTATATATTTTTATATGTATATAAGAGATAAAATTATCTGTTATAATATAAGAAACACTAATCTTTTTTTATTCGTCATCCTTAATCGTTTTCCAATTTTCAAACCCTTTGAACGATGACGAACTATAAACAAATATTGTCCGTAATCAATGTTTTTATTTTTTCCGTTTTATCCCCTTCACAGGTTATGTTTCGTCATCAACTTTCCCCCCAACAAAGTTATGGTCACTATTTTTTTTTTTTTTTAAAGTCTCACAGAGATGAATATTTTTGCATACTTTTTCCTTAATTATTATGGCGCATGAAATTAATTCATAATAGTAATACTATGTTCCGTTTGATGCTTATGAGAGGAAAATACAATTAAATAGTATGATTCGAATAAGTGAGCTACATCACAATTTTTTGTGTTGTTGTGAGTCATTGAGATAATTCCTCTAAAAAAAAAAAAAAAATTTGATAAACACATTCCTCTCAATTTACTGTCAAAGGGTTGTGCGTATTCTCCAATACTAAAACATGAGTAAGTGAAATAGGTAAAATTAGCACCGAAGCGGAACTTTAGTGTTGTCATATTACTTTCATAAATTCAGTTAAATCGATTCAATTAATAATCTAAAAATCTAATGTTCTGATCGAATCATTTATTGGTTCGGATTTAATGGACTTAGGAACTAGGCATATGTCTTTTGAGTAAACTTGTTTGAAAATTTTTGTTTTATACCATGTGATTATTGTATAGAGAGTTCAAGATGCTATATGAGTTACTTTCAGGCTTTGGAACAATATATTCATCACAATACCATTTTGTGTTGCGTATTTTTTGTGTGCAATAAAATTAGGATAATGAAGGAATAAGGATATTACCAAGTATATGGATCAACTGCCATAAAATTGTTTCAAACATGTGGAGAAATTTTTAAAAAAAAAAAACAAGGGTTATTGAATTTTTCTCTTTTTTTTATAGTAGACAAGATTTTATAACCTAATTTATATGGTATTTTTTTACAGAGATTTGTATTCAAATTACTCTGGTTAAATATTTATATTATTTTAACAAAATCAAATAATTCATATTTTTTTATTGCATTTCTTACTTTTTAGCAAATTGATCATATCCACAACAATAAGAATCGATCACACAGTAAAATAGTTAGTGCGTTTTCATATATGAAATACTAATAATTCCAACTTCGAACTTTTTTGGCAATTTTGATTTTTGAAATTTACTATGCTAGCTAGGGGTATTCGTGGTCTGAATTGGATTTTTGAAGCAAAAACCATTCAATCCAATCTTTTCGGTTTGATCATTTAATCATCCATGTGGTTTGAATTTTTTTCAAATCCGATCCAACTCAATCCAATTTATTCGATTTGGATTAGTTCGATTTTTAATTTTTTGAAAAGCCTAAAACAAAACTTGTGAGAATTATTTTTACCAAAATGAGGGAGTATTATTCATCATGGATTCTTTGTACTGGCAACAACAGAAAATTTTGACAATACTGGAGTAATAAGTCTTCCAAAATCACTAACAACAAAAAATACTTGATCGCAAATTGAATAAATACCCTAGACAAAATTCCATAACATAATGAAAGTAAACTTAAAACATTAAACTGAATTTTTTGGCCTATAAATAGATCTTTTGTTTATGTTTAGAAGTTAATGGGTGGGTTAATGAGTCTTGAGTTTAGAATTTTGCTATATAATTTTTGGACTATGATTGAGGAGTAGGCCCAAGTAGGTAGATGGTAAGGTAATATATTGGATCGGTTTGGACTGAATCAATTTTCACCAACCAAATCGAAAATCGATCCAATCTAACAAAAATTTACAATTCTTTTTTGTTTTTCGTTTTTTCAATTTTCGATTAATTCAGTTATCAATTTTTTGATTCGGTCACGGCAATTTGTATCGCGATGGATGAACACCCCTAGTGATAGCTGATTTGATTTGCACAAAATATTAATTTGTTATTATGTTCATATTGATGAGTGCGACAGACAAATAACAGATTAAAATTAATTTTTAAAATGAAAAACTATAATTTTATGTATTCTTATCAATAATAGTCGTTGAAGAGCCAAATTAGCAATGCTGAATATATTAAGTAAAAGTTGTTTATATCATTCAATTTATGGACCTAAGAATTTACCAGTCCTGCCAAAAGTCGTTTATACAAAATTGAATATAAGGAACGGTGTCTGAATTCAACCTTGATCGGGATTTCGTTATAAAAACTTGCCTCTTACTATTCACTATATAATATAAAAACAAAACTCAAAAATAAAAGATTTAACTTTCTAATTACATAATACAAATACAAGATCTTTAGTTAAGAAAGCTTTTCTAATAATATACAGTACATAAAATTGTTAAAAAAAAATTTGTACAAAACTACGGTCAAATAATGTTTAAGCAATTTTGAAGACAAAGTTTTGTAATGTCTCAAACCTAACTTAAGTTGTAATGAAGTTGAAACTTGTTGTTTTTTTTAATATTATTTATGGGTTCATAGATTAATTAATCTGATTTGAGCCATCGAAGATTATATATGCGGTTGTTGACCTTGGGCAGCTTTTGAAGTAGTGACCTCAAGGTTCTTAACAGCGGTAAAACTCTCTTTATTAAATTTTAATATAACTACATTTTTAGAAACTCAAACTCGATTAAATTAAAACAATTGATTCACATGTGTTGTAACATGTTTTATCTAACAATAAGAAAATGCAAAATGGAGCAATCCAATCACATTAACGAGCGTTTTTTTAATAGTACTGCTATACTAACATCGTTTCTTAAAAAGACAAGGTTTTAGGATTTGATGGGGAATATCTACAAAGACATGGATTAAAATGTCACCCAATTTTTCCAATTTAAGAAAAAAGGGACTACCAAATCGCTCTATGTATATAAGAAATTTTCCACATTAACCCCAAGAAAATTCAGAAAATGACATCATCATCCTACGTGTCATACAGGAGCGACGTGGCAATGACTTAAGTATATAAACATCATGTCCTTCCCACACTCATTCACGAGTCACGAGAGCTCGCAGGTTGTCTTAATCTTATCGTCGTAACCAAACAACCCCACTTCTGCGCTTGAACGAGATAAAAAAACGTTACTCTTATACCAAGAGAGAGAAACGACCCTCTCAAAATTTTCCAGGAAACTTAAGCTCCCGAGAAAATAATATTAAAAGAAAAAGAAAATAAGAGGGAGAGAGCATGGCGACGCCGTTAACGGGGCCGCAGCACTTGGACGGAGGAGGAGGAGTGGCGGTGCTGTCGAATCCCGTGAAGAAGGTCGATTCTTCCGCCAATGGTGGTGGCGGCTTCAATCGCTCCCTATTGGAATCGCCTATTCGGATTTTCTCTTTCTTCCACAAGTCGATTCGGAACGAGCTCGATGCACTGCACCGATTGGCCATGGCTTTCGCCACCGGAAACCGCTCCGACATTCGACCCCTCTCCGAACGCTACCATTTCCTCAGATCGATGTACAGGCACCACTGCAATGCCGAAGATGAGGTGCAAGTTTTGGAACCTGTGTTTCTCCTCCATTATTGTTCTCAACTTTGTTTCTTTTAATTTTTTTTTATTTTGTTTTATTTTTTGGAGCTTGTTACTTGATGAATTGTGTAATCGAGTTTTTTTTTTTTGGTGTGAGGAATGGTGTAGAAAAATAAATATTTCCTTGTCCTATGATTCATGAATCATGGATAATTGATGGTTGATAACTTCAGCAATTTAGTTTAGGGAAGAACTAAGAAAAATTTTAGTGGAAATTTTTTTAATATTGAAACGTTGTGTGTTATTCTCCTTAATCACAGTGGTATTTTCCATTAAAGTATGTAGTCATTTTTGTTATTTTGGTTACTTCCCCCCACACCCCAAAACACATTTTGCTTTTAATGAGATGAACTGAATATATATAGAATCCGAATATGAAGAAATTTAGCTGTATTCGTTGAACTATGTATTGTGATTTTGCAGGGTTAAAATAAACGTGTGCTGTTGTTTGTCACTAAATAGCTACAATTATATTGATTGTTTTCTGATTCATGACTGGATTGAGGTTTTGTATGAAGGTAGCTAAATGTAGTTAGCAAACAGCTAGTGGCACATAAATTCATTCCATTTCTGGTTGATGTGATTGGTCTATCTGTGTACACAAAAAGCTTGGCGGTGTTGCCAGCATCAACATCGCCTTTATCCCAAACTAATTGGGTTTGGCGGTGTTAACCCCCCCTCTCCCCCAAATGGCAGTATCTGTAACTATCAGACTTGTAATGCGATTTTTAAAAGTAAATTATTTGGATATGGAATCTGTGAACTTTGTGATAAATTATTGGGCTTCCTTTTCTTTTTAATTTATCTTTTGCAGAATGTCCTATAGATTTTATGAGAGTCGAATGAGTATTTTTTTTTTTGTGATGTTAAGGTTCTACATGCTTTGCATGTGGATCCTTCCTACTTTCCCAAATCATTGTTTTATAATTTGGCTTTACCACTCCTGCATGTCTGCTATGTTCAAACATTTTGAGAGAAATCTGTTCTACAATGTAGGTGGTTTTTCCAGCTCTAGATATACGAGTGAAGAATGTAGCACAGACATATTCTCTAGAACACGAGGGTGAAAGCAATCTTTTTGATCATCTATTTGAGCTGTTAAACTCTTCCATCCATACTGATGAAAATTTCCCAAAGGAGTTAGCATCCTGCACTGGAGCTTTGCAGACATCTGTCAGTCAACACATGGCTAAGGAAGAGGAGCAGGTATAAGTTTATTTAATAACTCTTTCCCTGATTTCCACTTGGACTCTTACAATGAGATAACTACAACCTTAAGATAACAGAAAGATGGACCCCCCCCCCCCCTTCCCTTCTCTCTCTTCCTCCTACAAGGTAAAAGTACTACTCTTTACTATTTGGTTATTGAAGGGTAGGTGCTAAATTCTACATGTTATAACTAAGAAAATTATATTTTCAATTTTTCATGTATACTTTACTTGATGAGTTAAATATTCTTGTGGTGATTATTTCCCTAAACCCAATCATGTTGTCTTCAACTAGTGTTTTGGCGATATTAATCAATATTTTTAACAGTTATAATCATTAGACTTATCAGATACTGTCTTTATGTTAACAATGGCAGGACTATATTGATTTTTCTTCTTCAGTGTTCATCTTTTAGTATAAGAATATCTTCTGTCTAAAAAAGAAAAGTAGCTTGTTGTATTGCAGAATTCGGAATAAATCTCACTATTTTATTTTGTTTGTTGACATGAGAGTACCATTTAGGAGAAGAACAAAAGCATGCACATTTGAGCATACTTACGAATTATAATCAAATTTAAGAAAGTTGTGCATGTGGCTGGGGTCATCAACCAGAAAATTCAAACAATTAACATGTGTGGCATGCTTACATGTTACATATCTGAGTGTCCCCCTTAAGGGAAATCGCTCAATATAGTTATCTGTTTACAAAATGATATCCTAAATGATTCATTGTGTTAATCATGCCCCTAATTTTGAATGGCTGAATTTTAATTTTTTAATTTTTTATTTTATTTTCTTATCGTGGTGTGTGTCTGATTTTTTTGTTTGTTGGATGATATAAGGTATTTCCGCTGCTTATTGAGAAGTTCTCTCTTGAGGAACAGGCATCTTTAGTTTGGCAGTTTCTTTGCAGTATTCCTGTGAATATGATGGTAGAATTTCTTCCATGGCTTTCAACATCTATTTCACCTGATGAATCTCAGGATTTACGGAAGTGCTTAAGCAAGATAGTGCCGGAGGAAAAACTTCTTCAGAAGGTGTGGTTTCAAATGCTGTTTTAGAGCATGGTTCTTTCCTTTTCAGTTCCAATGCTACTTTATGGGTTGAAGCACAATTTATATACATTTGATTTGTCATGGTAATGTATCTGATCATATTCTTGCTTATTGAAGGTTATTTTCACCTGGATGGAAGGGAGAAGTAGTGCTAACACAGTTGAAAATTGTGTAGATCATTCTCAGGTTCGATGTAGTTCTAAGCCACTAACCCATCAGATTGGGAAAGTAAATTGTGCTTGTGAGTCATCTGCAACTGGGAAAAGGAAATATTCTGGATCTATCCTAGATGTTTCTGATAACACAGGAAGACATCCTATAGATGAAATATTGCTTTGGCATAATGCAATAAAAAAAGAGTTAAATGAGATAGCAGCGGAGACCAGAAAGATACAGCTCTCAGGAGATTTTACTAATCTGTCAGCTTTTAATGAAAGGTTGCAATTCATTGCTGAAGTTTGCATATTTCACAGGTATCACCTTCAATTCTCTGTCTTGTGGAAGCATCTTATGTTTCTTCAATTAAAAATTTCCTTATTTTGATTTCTTTGGCTTATTCTTTTGTTTTTTTTTTCAACTTATTTTATTTCTTACTGTTCCTTTCTTCAGTTTTACCCTACCTTGGATCCATACGCTTTGAATTTTTTTTTCTCGCTTCTCATTTAGGAAAATAATTGGTGGACGGTCAAAGAAGAAACATTAAGTACAGAAAAATATACTGGAAGCACAGAATCTTTTGTTGCTCCTCACTTTGTCCAACTAATATATAAACTGTGCAACTTATAGGATTGCTAATACAACATGAAGAATTCTTTTGTTGCTTCTCGCTTTCTCCAACTTATTTAAAATGTGCAAATCATAGGATTAGTAATACTAAATGAAAAAGAGAGAGAAATAATTCATCCTAAGTAAAGGAGTGAATGGGAGGTACTAATGGTTGTCAAGCTTTCATGACATGCGGATGTAGTATTTTCCTTATTAGAAGAATCTGTCATGATATTTTAACCTTAATGTTCCATAGTATATTGATTGAAAAAATGGTTGTCATAAAATATTTTAGTGTGGTACTTTCTTCATTGCTATCCTTTGTACTTCATTGTTTATGTAGTGCTAGAAGTTTGACTACAAGGAATGGTTAAGAAATAAATTGTCATGGAATGGGGATGTAACAATTTCTTGCTAGAGAATTTTCTCTTGATTTTGGGAGATAAAGGAAATTTTGACATTGAAAAGAAAAGTTGAAAGTAATTATTTTGAAGTATAAATAGAAACTGAGATTTGTGAAGAAAGAAGACATTTTATCATAAAGAAATTTGAAAGTAATCAACAATTTGAGAGCTTTTAATAAACATAAAAAAGGATGATAAATAATGGTGAAGCCACTTGTCTTAGGGAGGAAGAGAGTACAATAGGAGATTATCTCGTTCTCAAGAGTGAGAGCTCTATTGTATATAAAGTGAAAAAATGATTGTCAAAAAACAAAAAAGTGTGCTGTGTATCCTTACTTCATTCTTTATATAGTGTTAAAAGCAGTGTTGTCAATATCATGTTTTAACTCGATCCTACGATTTTTTTTACCATGGATGCGCCAACTTAGTCGCAGGATTGTGAGGGAATGGGATTGCCGATCAAACTCGTAAAAACGTGGAATCGTGTGATCCATTTGTTTTGGGAGATTCACAAAAATACACATGTCTGAGAGAGAGAGAGAGAGAGAGAGAGAGAGAGAGAGAGAGAGAGAGAGAGAGAGTCACACAATTCACAGCGTTCAACAAGCAATCGATATTTCACGATCAAGGGTATTTCCATTTTTTAATCAAAATAGGTCAGCGTTCAACAAGCAATCGATATTTCACGATCAAGGGTATTTCCATTTTTTAATCAAAATAGGTGGGGCTTTCTATTTGATTGTATCGAAAGACCCAATGAATTGGGAGGCCTGCATGACGGGCTATTAGCTCAGTGGTAGAGCGCGCCCCTGAGTGCAATTGTCGTCGAAGACCAGATTGGAAATGAAGAGGGCACTGGTGCCCTTTTGCTGCAATCGACCATTGAAGAGAGAGAATAAAAGAGAGTTGGGTTTTCATCACTTGCGCCATCAAAGAGAGAGAAAAGGAGAGATATAATGGTGTCTTCACCACATGTTTCTTATGTCATTCCCTTTTTCTTTTTATTATTTAAATTTTTAGTTTTGTACTTTCACAGCTTTTCACTGTTTTCCATTGATTCAAATTAGCAGAGTAAAACTTCGTATAATAATAAAAAATGAATGGATTTACCAAAAATAATAAAAACTGAATGTTAAATTATTTGATTATAATTTGAATTTTTTTAATTAAATTTAATACTGATTTAAATATCATTTTTATTTGTTATTATATATATATATATATATATATATATATATATATATATATATATATATTAAATATAATTTTATATTTTAGGTAAGATCTTACGATTTACAATCTATCTACTCCCTTGTTATCCTAAGTAAGATCTGGGGGTCTCACAACCTTGGTTAAAATTGTGTGGCATGGAATGCTTAATTGATTATTTCTATGAATGCAGTATTGCTGAGGACAAGGTTATTTTTCCAGCAGTAGATGGAGAGTTTTCTTTCTTTCAGGAGCATGCTGAAGAAGAAAGCCAATTTAATGAATTCAGGTCTTTGATTGAAAGTATTCAAAGTGAAGAAGCAACATCTAATTCGGAAGCTGAATTTTATTCCAAGTTGTGCTCACATGCTGATCATATAATGGAAACCATACAGAGGCATTTCCATAATGAAGAAGTTCAGGTGATTCTTCATTGCTTATGCAATAATTTTTCTTATAGTTGCCAAAGTGAGATGTGAATTTGTTTAGCGAATGCAATGTTAATATTGCAATAGGATGATTATTAATAAATTGATTGGTGGGATTTGAGTATCATATTTTAGAAGTTATCATAGCTTGTTAAATGTTGATAAATATGAGCATTTCTTGTTTTAACTAATTCTTATTCTTATCCTTATTATTGTTATTATTAATTTGGTAGAGAAGTATGCAATAGGAAGTTCTTGATTTCTTGATCCGTAGTTGAATGCTTATGGCAAGAATTTGACAAGAATGTTAACACATATACCCTTTAATCTATTTTTAATATGTGCCTAATTCCTCACATCTGTAGGTTCTTCCACTTGCACGGAAGCACTTTAGCTTCAAAAGGCAACGTGAACTTCTGTATCAAAGCTTGTGCATGATGCCGTTGAAATTGATTGAGCGTGTCCTGCCCTGGTTGGTTGGATCATTAACTGAAGATGAAGCAAAGATGTTTGTGAAAAATATGCAGTTGGCAGGTGTCTATTTTGGATTTTCTTCTTTCTGAAAGAAACATATTTTTAAGAAATTAATTTTGTGTCTTCTATATCTGACAATTTGTCAATCTGTTCCAGCTCCAGCAACAGACTCTGCTTTAGTCACGCTCTTCTGTGGTTGGACTTGCAAGGCTCGTAATGTTGGACTGTGTTTGTCTTCAAGAGCATCAGGTTGCTGTCCTGCTCAGAGACTTACTGATAACGAAGAAAATATTGTTCGGCCTTCTTGTGCTTCTGCATTATCTGGTAGAGATTGCTCAGTTTTAGCTGAATCAGATGGAACTCAAAGATCAGTCAAGCGAAACATATTGCAGTTGCACAAGAATGGAGAAGTCCCTAAAACTTCAGAAAATGAAAGCATCCTGACACAATGTTGTAGTGCCTGGTCTTGTTGTGTGCCAGCTTTAGGTGTCAACGGTAACAATTTGGGGCTGAGCTCACTTTCTACCACCAAGTCCTTACGCTCCTTGTCTTTCACGTCTTCTGCCCCATCCCTGAATTCTAGTCTTTTCATATGGGAAACAGACAGTAGCTCATGTGATGTTGGCTCTGCAGAAAGACCAATTGATACCATATTTAAATTCCATAAAGCTATACGCAAAGACTTGGAGTATTTAGACGTTGAATCTGGAAAACTTTGTGATGGTGATGAAACAATTATTCGGCAATTTAGTGGAAGATTTCGTCTTTTGTGGGGTTTATATAGAGCTCATAGTAATGCTGAAGATGATATTGTATTTCCTGCATTGGAATCCAAAGAGACGCTTCATAATGTGAGCCATTCTTACACCCTGGACCATAAGCAGGAAGAAAAATTATTTGAAGGTATTTCTTTAGTTCTTTCTGAGCTTTCTGTCCTTCATGAAGCCTTGCAGAGGACCCATATGTCAGAGGATTTAAGTGAACATAATTTTGGAATTTCTGATGTCAATGGTAGTGATAATATCAGAAAGTATAATGAGCTTGCAACCAAGCTTCAAGGGATGTGCAAATCTATAAGAGTAGCCCTGGATCAGCATATTTTCAGGGAAGAGCTAGAGCTTTGGCCATTGTTTGGGAAACATTTCACTGTGGAAGAACAAGACAAGATAGTGGGCCGGATAATTGGAACTACAGGTGCTGAAGTTCTCCAATCAATGTTACCATGGGTAACTTCTGCACTTACAGAGGATGAACAGAACAAAATGATGGATACATGGAAACAGGCAACTAAGAACACTATGTTCAATGAATGGCTAAATGAATGCTTAAAAGAGAGTCCAGCATCTATATCAGAGACAGAAACATCTGAGCGTAGCACTTGTCAAAGAGGTTTATAATATGCTTTGAGTTTCTTTCTTGTTTGGTGGAAGTTGCAGGATGGATAGTTAAAAGTATAATGTGTCATGATTTTTTCCCAGGTGCTGACTATCAAGAAAGCTTGAACCTGAATGATCAGATGTTCAAGCCAGGTTGGAAAGATATATTCCGCATGAATCAAAATGAACTGGAGTCAGAAATCCGGAAGGTTTATCGTGACTCAACTCTTGATCCAAGGAGAAAGGCATATCTTATGCAGAATCTAATGACAAGGTTGGTTCCAGTGACCATAATTCCTTTGTTATATATAATTATGACATAACATGTTCATTTGATAGCACTTTATTCTGTTGTCTTCAAACTCTTGTTGATTAGTTATTTGTTTATTGTAGTCGCTGGATAGCTGCCCAACAGAAGTTACCTAAAACTCTATCCGGGGAATCATCTAATAAACAAATAGAAGGATGCTCACCATCATTTCGGGACCCTGAGAAACAAGTATTTGGTTGTGAGCACTATAAGAGAAATTGCAAGCTTCGAGCTGTTTGTTGTGGAAAGTTATTTACATGCAGATTTTGCCATGACAATGTGAGCGATCATTCAATGGATAGGTAAATTTTTGATGGGCTTTCTTAATATTTTATAATGGTGTATATATATGTATTTCTAATTATCTGTTTGATAATTGCAGAAAAGCAACATTGGAAATGATGTGTATGCACTGCATGACTATACAGCCTGTTGGGCCTATATGCATGTCACCTTCATGTCACGGACTTTCGATGGCAAAATACTATTGCAACATATGCAAATTTTTTGACGATGAAAGGTGCTTTTTGGTTCTTAGTTTAGAATTCAAAAGATTTAGTATGAAAACTGGTTAACATCCATATCAACCATACCTTTATCCCAAACTAGTTGGGGAGGCGGAGTTTTAGTATGAAAACTGGTGTTTCCTACTCTCTCTTTTTTGTTTCATAAGAGGCCTTATAGGCCTAGGAAAGGGGTAGGGAAGGGACAGAATCCATGAAATCAAGCAGACCATGGTAAATACTGTGACGGGCACCATGTGAGCTATGAGCTCCTTGGCTGCTATCTCCTTCTTTCTGTTGGAACGTAGTCCAAATAAAAGGTCATGATAGCTTTTAGTTTCTTGTTACTATCTTCATATACTTGTATATTAACAAGTCGTTGGAACTTTCGTTTTGAAGTTAACACAATCTCAGTTTACACTTAGTAATCATTGATCTTTCTCTTGGTTGAATTAAATTGTTTCATCTGCTACTTCTTACTTCAAAGCAAACATTATTCTTTTCTTCTTTATGCTCTAGAACTTCAGTGCCTTAGCTAGCATCCATAACTAGCATAAAACCCATGATACCTTCAGCTTTTGATTGATTACATTAGGCATAAATCCTTTGAAAAGAAATCTGGTCAGGGAGACCTGACTGGGTGGTATCACAACATTATGTACTTTTAATAACTGGGAACATGCCCCTCTTTGTCTCACTGGTTGCAATGGATCTATGCCATGGACCATGTACCTTGAGCATCACATTTAATTACATTAGGACTGAGATTGATAGCTTATCTATAATGGTGCATCCACCATTCTAACGGAGAAAGTTACTTTGTAAACAAAGTATAAGTTATGAAGGTTTAAAAGAAAAGATACGGGACATTGAGGAAATATGGTTGAGCTAAATCAATGCAAGGCTGGATCAATACGCTTCTAGGTGCAAAATTATCTATTTCTTTGAAAATGGAGATTATACAAATAGGTTTCAGAAACACGAGTTCACAATTCTTTTGATGCTCATTGTTGAGATATATAGTCCCACATTGGTAGTATGTGCAACTAATGTGGAGTTTATAAGGCCTTGGGCACTCCCATCCTTTGAGCTAGCTTTTGGGGTGGTGTATCCCAAGGTTCTTTACATGGTATCAGAGCCTCGCCGCCCCCCACTTTCTCTTGTGGCGTTTCTTAGCACAGGTAGGCTGGGCCTGTTGCATTGTCCACTCTTCAAGCCCAATAGGCTCTCGTGTGAGGGGGCGTGTTGAGATATATAGTCCCACATTGGTAGTATGTGCAACTAATGTGGAGTTTATAAGGCCTTGGGCACTCCCATCCTTTGAGCTAGCTTTTGGGGTGGTGTATCCCAAGGTTCTTTACACTCATACAAACAGATGTATGTGTGTGTATTTAGTGTAAAGCACATGGCGTTTTTAATGGGGTTTCACTAACATACATGTTGAGGGATTGGAAGCTTTGTTACGATGATTTTCTTTTTTCTTTGGTTGTTTTTTGTTTTGGAGGATAAAGATTCCTTATCCTCCTTTCTCTTTGTAAATTTTTTACTCTTCGTCTCAATATATTTCTTCTTTTTTAAAAAGAAATAAATAATTATTTTGGTATGTTTTATGCTATATGGTTGTCTTAGCAAGAAATACTTGGAAACATATGCCCTGATTATTAATATGTCAACTTTGTTAGTTTATTAATTTTATTTTTCCTTGCCTGTTAACTTCGCATCATTCTTTCTCAGGAATGTTTATCATTGCCCATTTTGCAACATATGCCGCGTTGGACTAGGGCTTGGGATTGATTATTTTCATTGTATGAAATGCAATTGTTGCCTGGGGATAAAATCAGCGTCTCACAAGTGCCTGGAGAAAGGTTTAGAAATAAACTGCCCAATTTGCTGCGATGACTTGTTCACATCAAGTGCAACAGTCAGAGCTCTACCTTGCGGGCATTACATGCATTCATCTTGCTTTCAGGTATGCCATTACCTATTTTAGGTTTTAGCCTACCTCTGACCAAGAAAAAGAAATAAATCTGCATTTGAACCATTTATCATTTATCTTCGTTCTACTTCAAATGAAGTAATAGGTTTTGGATTCAATCTTATACTTTGTTATAAAATGTTAGGCGTACACTTGTAGTCACTACACCTGTCCAATCTGCAGCAAGTCATTGGGAGATATGGCGGTAAGAATATTTTCATTTTATATGTCTACTATTAAGTCAAATCTTGTACAGTTGTTTTGTTGCTAGGCATACAATTCTATGCATGTGTGGGCACACTATTAGGAATTTGAGATAAGAAAGAGTGTAAAAGTAAACGCTATCTGGTTGACATTTGATTAGAAAATTTAATGAAAAAACAAATGATATAAGTAGAATGCTCGTATAAAATATCAATAACTTAAATTCTTTCGGGTATGATTAACTACGGAGAAAGAGAGCGAGCTTGGAGCAGTGGTAAAGCTATCCTTTGTGATTGAAAGGTCACGGATTCGAATCCGAAAAACAGCCTCTTTATAAATATGCAAAGGTAAAGCTGCGTATAAGGACTGCCCTTACTTCTACCCTTGCTTATTGGGGTTTAATGGGGAGTGTTTTTATTTTTTTTTAATTTTTATGATTAACTATTGATATGACTACAGAAAGTCAAATTTTGTTTCCTAGGTTCTTTCTTTTTCCTTTCTTGTAAAGGTTTAATGAGTGAGGATATTTTAACTACCAAAAGTTCTCACTACTAACTTACTACCCATCACATCACCATTGGATCAAAAAGAGAGAATGTTAAAAAGTTTTTGAAGAGAGAGAAAATGTTAATCTAATGATGATTAGATAGGTAGTAAGTTGGTAGTGAAAAATTTTGGTAGTGAGAATATCCCTCCTCAGGTTTAATTGGGCGAGAAATTTTTTTTATGAACCATTTTGTTGGAGGTTCAGTTGTACTCTTGGTAGGGCATTGGAAAATGAACGTTAGGTCAAAAGCTACAGCCTATTGACCTTTACCATGCTGCTTTCAAGTGGAAATTGAAATGGATAAAATTTCATGGCATACAATACTTAGCTGTTTCTCTGCCTACCCAGGTTTACTTTGGTATGCTTGATGCTTTATTGGCTGCTGAGGAGCTTCCTGAAGAGTACAGGGACCGGCATCAGGTATTACTTCTGTCACTTGAATATTTATTTGGTCCGTGTTAAATTACTATTCAGTTTCACTTTATTCCTTTCAAAAACTAATGTTGTTTTTATGAAATAACGCATGATGGCTTTGTAATTGACCTCTAATATTAAAATGAAAAATTAATTTGTTTTATGTGCTGTGTTTTAGGCATTCGATGATTCCTATTCCCTCTCCCCCACCTAGTTGAACTTTCCATCTTTTCTTTTTTATGAAATTTCTTTTTCTATAATAATAATAATAATAAGGTCGTGTCTAAAAGAATTTGTGACTCGTATATCTCATTTGGCATGCATTGTGAGAATAATTATGTCAAAGACCCTTTTTTTATATCAATGTTACTTTTCACATATTGTAATGTATTTGTGGAGGATTGAACAATGTATGTTGAGTCCAAAGACATTAAATTTTGATATGACTGAAGAAAATATATTATGTTTGACTAATTTCTGTATATTTTCTCGCAATTAAAATAACTTCGTGAGTAAGAAAAAGAGAAACTGCAAAAGCAGTCAGATACAAAAGAAGCATAATCATACGTCGTCATCATCTTGATAGAACTTCAAAGTTGCACCGATTTTCTTTTTCCACTAACTCATCATATTGACATGTGTCAATAGAATGAACCAGCTGAAATACCTCCTATAAACCATATGCTGCAATGTCTATATACAATTTTAAGGGTGGTGTTTTTATAATCGCATCAAAGAGATTTCCCACAAAATTAGCAGAAACAAAATATGATGGTGCCTAACTAGCAGTGGTAATTTGTCAACTCTAATCTGCTAATCATTTTTACAATGGCAATGCAGGATATACTCTGCCATGACTGTGATCGAAAGGGCACCTCAGGCTTCCACTGGCTATATCACAAATGTGAATTTTGTGGCTCATACAATACCCGGGTGATCAAGAGTGAGGCTACAAATTCCACCTGCCCTTAGTGTGCTTCTTTTGACAATGGAAGTACAGAGAGTTTGTAAATACTTGTTATAATCAATCCAATTTTCCCCCAACCAGGAAACTGGTTACGTTCCATTTTATACACAATGCTAGTGAGTCACACTTCCAAAGGCCTCTAGTGAGTTGTCTTCTCGTAAGCCGGAGATAGAAGAACCAATTAGTTCCATAGTTGTCATGTACAGATTCTTCCTAACTTCTTTTTGTAATGGATACTTCAGCTTCTCTTCTTTTCTACTTCTAGTTAAAGTTCATTTAAGTGTGCACTTGGGGTTGCTTTGCACACACACACACACACACGTTGTTGGTGAAAGTACGTCCTAATTGAGCTATGTCAACTTCTGTTAGATTTTTCCAAGTGACGATATATAGCAAATTATTTTAAGGGGCTTCCATTAATGTATAATACTATATCATTCAGCACAACACAACTGTGTAGTAATTCTTATCAATTTAGATTGTGATAGACGAACGAACGGTCAAATTGAAATCTCTAAGATTAAATAAAAGAATTTTATTCGTTACAAGTCAAGACATTTGTGACAGGCTTGATTTCAGCCTTACCAACTTAGACATCCTTTCCAAATGCATTTTATTATAGAATATGCGAAACTGAACATATGGAAACCGTTGAGTACTTGAGTTCACAAACTTAATAATTAAAGATAAGATTAGTCACGTTTGGTCTGTTCAATAGTTTTTAACAAATAAATTACGTTAGCTCTAGTTGGGTCAAACTCTTGCTTCGTTAATTAAGTGCATTGTAAAATTTTGTAACTGTTCATAAGAGCAGAGGTTGCATGTTAAGACTGATTGCTTTGGGCCATGAAACAAAACAAACATCTTAATCAGTCCAAACCAAACATAGTTTTACTCAATTCACGAAACCATAAAAGGAATTCTACATTATGCGAGAAAAAATGAAAGAATATAGGGCTTGAGTAATTGTGTTCTGATTTTTTTGTTTTGAAAGTTAAAAATTAAAATACAAAATAAAATAATTCAGATGTTTCTCTAAATTTAATTTTAAAAACAAAAAAAGAGTTATAATTTTTAATATTTTTTTACAAAACAGGTTTTTTTATATTTTTGTTCTGAAAAAAAAAAAAAAATTTAGAACCAGTATTCAAACAAGACCTATGTTTTTTTTTGTTGGCTAAATCACCATGAAAAATAAAAGTCTTATTCTTTATTTAAAAACATACAATTTTTTCACACTAATTGCTAAACTAAAACCAATTAACTTTTTCTAAAACTAATTTCCTGCACATCCAAAAAAATAAAAAAATAAAAAAATAAAAAATAAAAGAAGAAATTTTAAATGAAATGGTGACGTTGGTTAAATAACAGCAAATACTTAGGCGAACAACGTTAAACCGGTCTGAGAGGCTCTTGTCTCTGTTGTGTGTGTGTCTCTCTCTCTCTCTCTCTCGGTCTCTGTCATTGTTACATGGTTGCATACGCAAATAAACCAAAGCTTTCTTTCTCTGCAAAACAAAAACTCCATTCTCTCTGCAAATTCAAACCCCATCATCATCTTCTTCTATTCTTCTTCCTCAAATCATCCATTCATTCTACAAACTCATACACAAAAAAGGGATTGAAATTCCACTGTTTTTCCCTTTCCTCACACACAGAGAGAGACACAACAGTGTTCCCAGAAACAACCGTTTCATATGGCTATGGGACCCGAAAGATCAAAGCCACTACACAACTTCTCCTTGCCGTGCTTGAAATGGGGCACCCAAAAGTTACTCAGGTGTGTCAACGCCGAACCTTGTTCCCTTGATCGCCGATCCTCAAAATCCGATGAACCCCACATGAACCAAAACGAACCTTGTCGAGTTCCAAAGCGAAAAAACGACAACAACATCGATGCCGTTCGCGAGAAGATCATGGGGGATCTCAGAGTAGCGGCGAAGAAGCTCAAAGTTTCGATTTTTGAGAATGGAAAGGACGAAGGTGGTGGTGCTGTTGCTGCTACCAATGCCAGGCCTTGGAATTTGAGAACAAGAAGAGCTGCGTGCAAGGAACCACCACAACCACAACCACCGCATGAAGAAGAGCGAAGGTTTTTTTATGTGGGTTCTTCTTCGCCGGTGAAGGAGAAGAAGAAGATGATGATGATCAATGAGAAAGCCAAGTTTTCTGTTTCTCTGTCTAAGGAAGAGGTGGAACAAGATTTCTGGGCTTTGGTTGGGACCAGGCCTCCCAGAAGGCCCAAGAAGAGGCCCAGGATTGTGCAGAGGCAATTGAATGTGAGTACCAGTTTAAAATTTTTGTTTTAGGAAAATGAAATCTTGTTTTTGATTCTGTTGATTGCTTTTTTATTTTTATTTTTTTGCAGTGTTGTGATGAAAGAAAAAAAAACAAAGACATAAAATGATTAATCAAGTGCTTCTTGTTGGAATTTTACATAAACACTTGGTCTTAGGTTGTTTTTCTGGTTCAATTTTTTTGCAGACACTTTTTCCTGGGTTGTGGCTGGCAGAGATCACTGCAGAATCATACAAAGTGTCTGATGTTCCTGAATAAGGTGAAGTTTAGTATTTTTTTTTCTCTATCTCTGATTATAGCTGGGAATTTCAATTTGGTTTCTATAAGTAGAATATGAGTTATGCTTATGCTTATTGTATGCAGAGGCTGAATTGCTGAAATGAATAACAAAACCGGATTCTGGATGTCCTAAATACTTTGCTTGCTGACCTCTTACACATTGTCACATAAATAATGGTAATTTTTCGAAATCACCATGTAAATCAAAAGTTTAATTCAATAATCATGAAATTTTGGGATTTTGCAATTGGTTATCTGAATGTAGTAGCTTGCACCTGAAGATTCTATAGATCAACTTTCTTAGCACTTCTTTGAAAATCTCCAATTCACCATCAAATTGTTAGATTCCTGCTGTTGTGGATATTAGCAGTTTTTTTGATTTCTCAACTGTTTGTTTAATCCAGTATTACTCATTCAAGAAAGTAAACAATACTTTTTCGTGGATTGTAGTAAATCTTCCGATGTTTCACAAAATTTGGAGGCATCAAGTTGTTGTTCATCCATCATAGAACGAATTCGTTATTCTTTTTAGCAAAATCGTGAATAATGTTAGTGATAAACTTTATTTAGTTTTTTTTCTTTCTATAGGCATTAGGTGAATCTGCTTCATGAAGCTATGATCTCCAAGATTAGAATTCACTTAATCCACTGTTAATAGGGTATTATAGGAAGTTATATATGACACTAGTTTTACCAGGTATAAAGAAGGGAAAAAAATCGACAGTACCAGTGACTTAATGTTCAAAGAATGTGTGTACAAATCCAATGGTATGTCTTTCTGTTGATAGAAATATGGTGAAAGATCATCCTTTTTCCGTTGTGTTTGAAGAAGTAAAAAAAAAAAAAAAATGGTTTGGTTGAGTTCATCAGTTGCAATAAATGCCGAGTTTGTTACTAAATTTATAATGTAATTTTGTTACTAAATTTCCCATTCTATCCACATAACCTAGCAAACAAGTTTGTAAACCTTATAAAAGCCAAATGTAGCTCCAAAAAATATAATTAAAATAAATGAAAAGTATGTTGAAATGGTAACATCTCTTGACTTTTTTTTTTTTTTTTGAATTTGGAAAGCAATGCCATTATTGAATTGGATTAATGGAGCCCTTGCCATGAGAGGCGAGACCAGTTGCCCCAAAAAAGGAACATTGTAAAATTAATTCAGACAATACCTGCTGTGATTGTGTTCCCATTCATAAACTTGCTGCAGTGACTTAACTCAGATTGAATTGCCATAAAACCACCTGTTTTTTCCCACTGTTTTTTCCTAGAGAAAGAAGAGCAGGAAATCATATTTGGCTTTGTTTTCTATTCTTGTCTTTGGGACATTCGATTAGTGTTGATTGCAACTGATACAGGAGAACAAACTCAGCTAATATCCACAGAAAATTTCTTTTCTTAATTGCTTGATGAATGATGATCACCTTCAAATAAAATTGCATCATTGCATTTAAGGATTAATTTTCCATAAACAGGAAATTATCATTAGTTTCCAATTCAATGACTCCTAACCTCAGCAACCCTGCTAGGTGAGAGTTCATCTGAGTTATTATGTCATTACTGGTGAAACAATTATGCCTTTTGCAGTTGCACTTACATCCGTTATGAAAATTCTTGAAATTCTTCTGTCATTGGCAATTTGGCATGTTAACATAAGTACATAAACAGATGCTGTGATTAAGAAGTAGAGAGGTGTGGAATTTTTGAGGTATATGATAGTTGTTTTAGACATGTGGGTGATTCCAGTAATAACATCTAATTTCACTCTCTTTTATTATCTAGCAATTCAAGTACTTGCTTGTACTCAGAATTCTTGTGTTGCATTCTTTCACCCTATAGAGATATCAAGTAACTTCAATGCGATGTCAGATATCAACAAGCATTGGATTGTCCTAGTTGGCATTGAGCTTGCCAAAATAAGGCACAGGTCATTTATTCAATTAACTGGCATGATTCTTTAACATTTTTGGGTCCACTTAACTTTTGTACATCACTTCCCTGTATAGGGATTGGTTCCAATATAGGACCCATTGACTTGTCGTTTCTATGTAAAGGAATTGAAGCAATCCCAATGTAGGAATTGGAATAAAAAAAGCTATTATATAAACAAAAATTATGAGCAAATATCAGGGTCTTTTAAACCAATTGAACTTATTTGGAAGTGCTTTTCTCACTTTAGAGGATCCAAATTCTGTAATATTTGTTACTGTTATATATTTGTTAAAGTCACATTTTATTTATGGGAGAATTAGATTTATAAAGTATCAGCAAACAATTGTTATTGCGAAGGAATGCTTGGTTTTTATTCTAGTTAAGAAGTTTACTTAGCTCTACTTTTCACATGGTAAACTCATTTTTAATCCAGAATTTAAATACTCTTAAGGGGTGAGAAGGACACTTGAGAAGGAAAAATGGGTTGATATGGACATCATTAGTCGAGATTGTGATCAAATACGTGTATATAATAAACTATACAGTCAATATTTTTTTAAGAGTAAATACCCTTTTTGGTCCTTAGTAAATTTCACGATGTCCGTTTTAGTCCCTAGCAAATAAAAAGGCTCATCGTGGTCCCTAAAAAATTCAAAATGAACTCATTTAGTTAAAATCGTGATCCCTCACAAATTCAAAAAAGACCCATATTAATCCCTAAAAGGACTAAAATGGGTTCATTTTGAATTTCTTAGGGACCACGATAGATCTTTTTATTTGCTAAGGACTAAAGTGGGCATCGTAAAATTTGCTGAGGGCACAAATGTTATTTACTTTTTTTTAATTAATTATTATAACACTACATTTTTCTTTTAGGTGCAGATGGATTTCATTTCTTCCAAACGCATTAAATAAGTCAATCTTTTGGGCTTAGAGGTTGATACTGAATACCATGAGTCTTGTAATTTAAATCATTGAACAGTTATCTTAATTTTATAATCCACTTATTGAATCATGTGATATGATTATAAACATTATGCATATTACATCATAGATAAACTGAAATATATATATATATATATATATATATATATATATATATATATATATTTATTTGTATCTTAAAAATATCTTATATGTTGAATAAATTAGTTAAATAAAGAACTAATTAATTTTTATTTAATGAAATTATGTGAGTTTGATCTAATTCATGAAAACTTTTATTTCAATGATTAAATCACTAACAATTTATAATCTTTTTTAGAAAAAGTTGCTCAATGAAGTGTATTTGAAATGACTCCTTTTTTTAGACAAAGTTTAGATTACACCATGCTAAATCACAAACAATTTAAGACCTTTTTATCATTATTATTTTATCTTTTGAGTTTAGCATCTTTATTTATCGTTGGGCCTAGGTGAATCTCCACTTCCCAGCCAATTGAATTATGTGATTGATAATTAACTAATGGGTTTGTTTGTCATAGCCCAAAATTGTGATGACTGCTCCAATCTCCAATAATTGTTGTGTCATCCGATTTAATGAAATCAACACAAAAATTTCTTGTTCACCCTACCTAAATAAAACTGAGTGCACTCCTCCTGATTTTCTCTCACTCACAATTTGAATTCCTCTTTTCCAACCTTAAACTGAAAATTCATGTTGGCTTGGGTAAAGAATCACTTCAACCCAAAACTTTAAGGTGTTGGGTGATAACTTTTTTAATGATTTATATTATTTTTTAACACATTCTCACACGCAAGAGCCCGAGCTTGAAGTGTGGATTATTGCATAGGTTCAATTTTTCGTTTACTTTATGGTTATTTAATTCCACAAGTGGGGGGCGGTGAAAGTCGAACTCGTGCCTTTATGGTCACTGAAACACTTATACAAGGTAAAGAATCACTTCAATCCAAAATCTTAAGTGTTGGATAATGACATTCTTAATAGTTTATATTATTCTCTAACAGTTTGGAATCACATTTATTATTCATGAACCTAATAACTGACTTGGTTCAGGATTGGTTAATAAAATCAGGAATTTCACTATCCCTTGACTTCAAATTCCTTTATAAATGTAACCCGAAAAAATTCCAATGCAAAAAGTCCAACTTGATCAATGATGGTGGTAGTTATAGGGAAGCTGAATCCAAACTCCGCACATTATGGATAACAAAAGTAAATGAATAAAAAGAAGTCTCTTGACTTAGAACAGTACATATATATGATTTCTAAAGAAGGGTGAAGATATTTTTGAATCCTTTTTTTGAAGCCACCATCAATTATAAGATTGCACTATAGTGGAGCTTATCATTACTGAATTTTACTCAGCTTGCTCATGTGAAAAAAAAAAAAATCATTGAAAGTTCAACTACTAGAGAAACTGATGAAGAGGTGATTGAAATCCTGTTCATCTCCCCATGTGTTTAACTTATAATCATTAAGCATGCCTAAATGGAAAGTTGGAAACCAAGCAGTTATGATAGTTAATTCTGATTGTCCAATAAATAACACATGAAACTTGGACATACGTATACATTTCTATGTAAAATACATCAAACTTTTAGCCTATATGTGCCAATAGATAAACCAAAGGACGGTCAATTATTAGAGACAAAATGTTAGTTAAATAGATGAGGACAATACTCATAAATAAACCAGTACTAATCTGAACAAGCACCAAGAGGCACAAGGTTCCATATTGATGAAGAATCATAAAATAAAACAAAGTGTGACAAGACATTAAAGATGGATTCCCGTTGTTCTGTCTCCCAAGCTATGGACCCTTTTATCTATATGACCATGACATTCAGAAGATCAATGATCTATTTCTTCTTTTAAGCTTTGATCCAAATAATCATTGTCTTGAGATAGCATAATTAGCCTCATTGACAACCATGCTAATTAGCCTCCATCACTTGTCACTTTCTTTTCTGATTGGAACAGACAATGATTATGATAAGCCAACATGAATTCATTACATGATAATTAACATATGAACAAATCACTTCTTGCTCTTCTTGATCTTCCCAACACGTAAAAATGAACCCAACCCAAAGAGATTTGCACTTCCCTTTGAAACATAAGGAGTTGGTACGTTTAAGATAGGACTAATCCTAAAACCATTGCCATAAGATCCTCCATAACTCTTACCTGAAGGAGATTTTTGCATAGGATGCCAATTTAAGGTAGAACATGAAGATGATGATGATGATGATGATGATTTAGCTACTGTTGGATGCTTGTTTGAACTCATTCTCTTTGGATTTAGCACTGAACCAGTTGAGTTGCTTCTTGACAGAAGAGGTAAAGAGAAGACTAAGCTCTTCTTTGTATCACAATTTAGACTTCTACTTCTACTGAATCCCCAGAAAGACCTTGAATGAGATTTTTTCTCATGATCAGAACTCACATCAAGGATTTCTCTAATGGTTTCTTTCTTCACTTTGTCAACACATGGACGAGGAGGAAGTTTTGTATAAGGAGATTCCACATAATGGGAATGTTTTCTAGTAGTGGTTTTCTCTTGTATCTGAATTGGAAGGATCACCCCATTAGAGAAAAGTTCATCTGCTGAAGATGATTCAAACTCAAGGATTCTACTTGTGCTGAACTCAAATTCAGAATTTGAGTCCAGCATCAATGTGTCTCTGCAAGGAACATCCTTTTTCAGTGGTGAAACTTGTAATTCAGATAGATCATGGGAGAAAGAGAGACGAGGAGGACTTGTTTGAGAGCACATAACCACAGGTTCCTTCCACAGACAGAAAATGAGGAAAACAAAGTGGGAAACAAAAATCACAAGTCAAGGTTGAGTTCAAGATTCAAACAACTGATGATGTAGCTAATAGGTAATGAACAAAACAATATGGCTTTAAGGATTGAAAATATATATAAAGTTGCTTTTGATTGAGAAGTTTAAAAGACAAAGACAGACAAACAGAAAGAACTATTTTCATAGTCTTTCAGATATAGAGGGGGAAAAAAGAGAGCATGTATCAACATTTATTCAAGTTTCGAGGACTGAGAGATTCTGTGAAAAATAGAAGATCAAAGGAGATTTAATGTTCTTCTCTTCTGAAAAAGATGCAGAAAGGATTTTTGTCTATTATTGTTGGAGAGTAGAAACGAAAGAGGAAAACAAAAACTAGACTTAAAAAGAGAAAAATACTATCTTTGACAACTTGGAATAGTAAAAAATGGTGTACCCTACAAAGTCAGTAAAAAGTTCTGCTTGATTAGAGGAAAGTGACTGCAACCACACTCTTAATTTTGCTGAATTGAAGGAATAATATTTGTAGTCTTTTGTCTTTAAAACAGCCACCACCCTACAAGACTTGTTCTATAAGATATAGACTTTGGGGGTAATCATCCTAACCACTGATTAAGCCCTTTGTTCTTTTCCCTCATCATATGATATTTATATTTATATATTTAAGGTAGAGGAACATTGTCTCATCTCTAATTTAATTTAAACAATCACAATTTATTATACAATACAAATCAATTAGATGGATAAGTACGGCCAAATATTTATTATATAATACAAATCAATTAGATGGATAAGTACGGCCAAATACATATTTCAAGATCATATTGACCGTTCCTCATATTTTGTTCCGTATATCAGGGCCGACCCAGTTCAAATACCCACTTCGTGAGTGTCTGGGGAAGGGAATACTCTAGGCAGTCTTTCCCCTGCTTTTTGCAGAGAGGCTGATTCGAACCCGCGACCTGACACAGCACGGCAAGCAAGCTTACCGCTGAGCCAAGCCGGCCCTTCATTTGCCATGACCATATTATATAACAAAATTAATACTGAATTGAATATAATCAAAACCACAACCTTTTCGGGTTAATCACTATGGCTAGAATTATACAATAGAGTGATTCGTAATAAAATTCTATTTTTTCTGTCACTGATCAATCAGTTAGAAGCCTGTAAATCAAGTATCTCAAGTATGAGGTCCTAGTAAAGTTGATGAACAAGAACAACTCACTGACAATATAATCCTAGTTCTTTCCTCTTCTCATCATCAGTTTTTAAGGCAAAAAAAAAAAAAAAATGTATTAACATTATCTTTTGAGAGTAAAAAAAATTAGGTTTATGATTTATTGAAAAATGGTCAAATTAAAATTCCAAGGGAATAAAATCAAACAAGCTTTTGGAAGCTGGATATTCTATAACTGGCTTACTAATAATCAAACAGATGCAGTGAAACAACTTCCTACTTGCCAACAAAATCTGTCAAAAGCACTCAAGAGTTAGTGGTGCATAAATGTTACAATTGACCACTGGTCACTCTTCATTGGGTATTATTCTTGCTTTCTATACAAATATAAGCTGCTAGGTGCAAGTGCACTCAATAACATATTATCCATGTCAACGGTTTAACTAATTAACTTGAGGTTAACTTGGAGTATTTTTTATTTTATTTTTGTTAAGTCGAGTCTTAGAACAGCGGTAAGATCATAAATGAGTTTGAAAAAATGTAAGGGTAAAACTATATATAATCAATGATCAGCGGTAAAATTATTCCTTGTGACCAAAGAAACAATCTCTTTATAAAAATATGTCTTTACAAAAATGTAAAAATAAGTCGAAAAGTATCGTGTAGTAGAATTAAAATATTAGGTATAAAGATAAATTAATAAGGGTGAGAAGAGAAACATAGATTTGTGCCTCGATAGCCAAACTCTTATGTAGCATGGGATGTGGGGGTCAGGGTCACATTTGAGAATGGACCCCAAAAGCAAAGTAATGTTTCTTCTTTTCATCAAGACAGATAACCCATTTTTGTCAACTTGCCATGTGAGCAAACTTCATACGTGGAAGAATGAATAAGCCCACAACCTCGATGACAAAACAGTCCTTAACACCTTATTTGTGATGCTCAATACTTGCCACAACATGGGACCCCACCCACCCACTATTTGATGGGCCCCCACAAAACATCTCTCAACCCAGAATTGGCATTACCAGAAACAACAGTTGCTTGGTGCAAGAAATTGAGAAAAGATGTAACCAAAACTATAACATGCACTACAAATGCCATGCACTTTTGAGTGAGACCTATCTATCTTCATTATAATTGATAAATCGTGTAGAGATCTTGCTATGGTTGCTTTAGTGGACCACTCGCATCTAATAATTCAAATATCTAGGTCGTGGTGCCTTGTTTATTTGTGAAGAAAATAGCTTATCAATGGGAGAGAAAGCAACTATTGAGGGAGGTTGTTCCATCTATTTGATGATAACTTCTAGCGACTGAAAATTGATAACTTCTGGAACAACAATACCAAGTGGATTCGACACCATTTATCTAGACTTTTTTTAGCTCGTAACCAAACAATGTGGGACCCATTGTTGGGATAAATTTTAAATGTCCATTTTTTAGCAGTTTTGGTTTGTTAGGTTCTTGTGTCAGTTAGAATATTAATGAGTCAGTTATGTCAGTTAGAATATTAATGAGTCAGTTATAAAGTAATGATGGTGTTATGTGTGGAGTTATGTTGGTCAGTTTTATAGCTTATAAATAGCCTTTGATAGTTTGTATGAAATGTAGATCAAGAGAAAAAGAGAAAGAGCTGGAAAGCAAGAATAGAAAAGAAAAGTTGTTTTGTAGATACACAAGTATGGTTGTCTCTTGCATCTGTGTGTAGATACCAAATTCTAACAAATTGGTATCAGAGCTTGGGCTATGGAGGAAAAGAACGAGATGGAAGTGCCACTCTTTTATAGAGATAAAGATGAAGCATTGGTCTTCTTACTCCGTCTGAAAGAATATTTTCGGAGAGAAAAAACCTTTGAAGAAGACAAATGGCATGAAGCTTTGAGTAGATTCAGAGGAAGAGCAATCAAATGGTTCCGTACATGGGACTGCCGCGAATTTAATAACATGTGGAAGAATTTTCAAATAGCCTTTATAGCGAAATATCTACCTGGACGGTTTGATCTGATTGATGAAGAAGAAGATGAAATCATCAATGATGATGATGAAGATGAGGAGAATCATGCGGATGAAGAAGAGACCGAGATGGCAGAGTCCGAGGTTGCCAACGGCAACGTATCCGCGGAGAAGATTGACGCGTTGGAGCGTGAGAGAGATGAATCAGAGAAAAAGACGATGTCGAAGGAGCTTGAGAAGCCAGCAAAGGAACGAGAAGCTTGGAATCCAAGATGCTTGATGGAGACCGGCTTGGAGGAGACTGCGAATCCGAGTCTCATGTTGATAACCGGGATGGGGGAGATCCCGGCTGAATCACCGAGTTCATGTTTTGGAAGAGACTTCGACCCCGACGTGACGAGGTCGACGTCGGCGACCGGCATAGGTCGCTGGTCCGAGATGTCATTGAGGAGGTGCGAGGAAGACGGCAATGAAGGAGCCGAGAACGGCGAAAAAATGGAAGGTGCATTTGAAGAAAAGGATGTGGTCTTGAAGAGAAAAGGAGGTTTTGTTGACAATACCAATGATGCAGAAATTAGGATTGGACGAGGAAATAAAATTGTGAAAGCAACTGATGAAGTGGCGAATGAAACTAAGAAGAATTTGGGTCACGAGAAACTTGCAGGTGAAGAAGATGCAGCGAATGGAAAGAAGGAAAGTACTGCTAATGAAACTGAAAATATCAAATTGAATAAGCCACCGGATAAAATAAAATATATTCAGAAAAATAATTGCAGGGGAGATATTTTTTTTGAGTTAATTAAGTTGGAAGGTGTTAGATGTTTTTTTGTCAGTGATTAAGAATGAAGAAAACATACGCGATCAGAAAGTTGAAGAAAAGCAGAAGCAACGCGAAGAAAGAAAGAAGAATTTAAAATTAATGGGGGAGTTTTGTTGGGTAAATGTCCGTTTTTTAGCAGTTTTGATTTTTTAGGTTCTTGTGTCAGTTAGAATATTAATGAGTCAGTTATGTCAGTTAGAATATTAATGAGTCAGTTATGTCAGTTATAAAGTAATGATGGTGTTATGTGTGGAGTTATGTTGGTCAGTTTTATAGCTTATAAATAGCTTTTGATAGTTTGTATGAAATATGTAGATCAAGAGAAAAAGAGAAAGAGCTGGTAAGCAAGAATAGAAAAGAAAAGTTGTTTTGTAAAGTTGTTTTGTAGATACACAAGTATGGTTGTCTCTTGCATCTGTGTGGATATTCAATTCTAACACCCATCACAGTTGAATATCCCAATAATCTCTCATTCAAGTATGAAACCTAACATTGGTATGTTCTCCCTCAACCGATTACCCAGGCCCAAATACTCAACCCCCTTTAGCCAATCATTAGGCTAGTTCGAGCTCAACCCGGCTTTGATACCAATATCAAGCGAGTCCAGAGGGAGCCTATGGCGGGGACAACCATCAATGGGCTAAAGTTGCACCACCATATCAAATGGGTACGAGACCATGTCATAACTCAAAATCTTAAGACATTGAATTTATGGGTCCTCCCACTTATATTCATTTCACCTATTCCATACCAATCAATGTAAGACTCATCACACTTGAATAACCCAACAACTTGTGCAAAAGTTTAATAAAAAATTGGAGAAAATGAGATTCAATGACTTAGCTCTGTTGGGTATGAATCAAACTTTGTATTCAGATGAGAACCCTTGTTGGCGAGGTCAGCAGAAAGCCAACTAGGGCCCCGCTCTCTTGTGAGCGGGCGAGGGTTAGGGGAGCCGCTCCAGCGGAGGTGCAGGGGGCAACGCCCCTGGGACCGTAGAAGTCTGGTACTGTTATGACCTCTAACTTATTGTATTTTTCTTTTGATAGAAGTTTGAGCTCGGGCCTATGAATAGTTGTTGTTAGGATTTCTAAATCCTATTTTTATTTCCCTTGTAAACCGAGTTAGTTATAACGAGTGTCAATGAGGATAATATAGTACAAGCTAGAAGTAGACTATATTGGATGAACTAGGATAAATCGCTGTGTCAATTTCTCTTCTCTTTCTCTTTTTTATTTCGATTGTGTGTGTCGATTTCCAATAAGTTCTTCTTTATTGCATACTATAAGTTACTAGTAGTGTGGCCTAAACTAGCTTTACCGTCATTGTCATTATTGTTGACACTACCATTATATCACTAATTTCATTATCCTGAGTATATCAGCAAGCAACACAACTACCACCGTGCATTGATAAATAGAAATTTCTCCATCACAAACCATATATTATAGAAGTAACCTAATCGATCGGATGTTGAATATACTTATATGAAGATATATTCAAATTTGTAAATGGAGAATTTTGAATATAGAGGTATAGGTTGTTTAATCAAGTTATATCAGAGTTGACACAACACATTATGCTAGTTTTTAATTTCAGAGTAGCATTCACACCTTCACCTACTTCCATGTAAGTGATTATATTCTAAGTTTCTAACTATTTAGGATTAGATTTTTGGCACTTGAGCCAAATTTAGCTAAGTGCTCATTTTCAAACTTTCATCAAGCAGTAACACCTCATCTTTATTCCTCCGATGATCACGAAAGAGTAGCGTATTAGAGATTGACAACCATTGCATGCAAACGTTGTCTCAATCTTTGGCTAACACCATATAGATAACATTTTTTACTATATTATTACTTATATATTTAAATAAAGGGTTTTCGTTTGTCTGTTACAGGAAAAAGAAAAAAGAGTAAACACTCTTTTTAGTCCCTGGCAATATCTACGAAGTCATTTTCAGTCCCTGACAATAAAAAAGGACCAAATTGGTCCCTGAAAATACAAGAAAAGGGTCACTCTACATATTTGGGAGTTGACATAAGGACTAACATGACCCTTTTTTTGTAATTTCAGGGACCAATTTGATCCTTTTTTATTGCCAGGGACTAAAAAGAACTTCGTAGATATTGACAGAGACTAAAAAGGGTGTTTACTCAAGAAAAAAAGGAGAAGGGAATTTCCTGTGGTGCGGCCGAATTAAAAAAAAAAAACTAAACTAAACTGAGGCATGAAAAATAAACTCTATTGATTTCTCATTTTCCTGTAATATAACTTTTATTAAATCCTTTAATAATACTGTTAATATTTTTTATGCAAATTTAATAAAGTAATTTAATAATAATCTATTTAAAATTTAATTTCGTGTTTACAAGTTTTATATATTCATCATTTTATAGTTAGAATAATAAATTTAAGGGGGCAAATCACAATTATACGTACACATCATTAATACATTTGCAATTTCTCAAACCAACAACCCAATAAACAGGCTAAGAAGTGACTATATACTATACTGAATTTACAACGCAAACTCCAAAGCTTATTTATTGGATTATCTTCGGCTAATGTAACAAAACATTTTACAAATTATATAATAATAAACATAAATATGTGGACTTTAATAAATGAAGAAAAAATTCTCACTATGTCGAAGACAGCTATACATTCAGCCATAATAGATTGAGGCTACTTTTAAATTGGCACCTTCATAATACTTAAAAGGTAATAATCTTAAAAGCTCAAAATTAATATACTTCCAGTATTTCAGTTTAGCACCACTTAATCATGGTGATAGTCAAATTATTTTACTTATAATAAAACCTTAAATTACTCTTTAAATAAGTAAAATGAATGAATCAAAACTACTCTAACCATAAATAAATGGAAAGTCAAGGATTTGATCAAAGCACCTGAATGTAAAAAGTTAGAATAAGTGTAACCCAAAGAATAAACGGCCAACGAGCAAGATTTCTTCTTTTTACAAACACAGCCGAGACATTCTTTATGGCCACGGCTGATTTAATGGTAAAATTAAAAGCTATATATATAGAAGAAAGTATGGTCTATGAACAAGGACAGAGGGCACAACTCTTATCACCTAAGATCAATGACATCAAATTTTAAATCTGGGTTCATGTAAACATCTGTACAGGTATTGTAAATAGGACCACCATCTGGAGGCTGATTATGTGGATGAAATCCACGTTGCTGGCATTGTTTAATAACAGACATTCCACCAGGGGCTGTCAACCGAAAAATGCCATGGTTTCTGTACATGTAAATAGGGTAAGTTTGTCAAGGACAGCTAACAACATACTTAATTATAAGAGACATAAAAAAGTTCAAATAATTATCAAAGACCATGCAAAATTCAGTACCTTCTTAATATGTAAATCTGAGAATATTCCTATTTCCTTTTTTGTAGGGTAATAAAGGATAGTACATATGCTGATCTGATGTAGGGATTGGCCAAATAAGAGGAAGCAATTATAATTGTGTGTGGGTGGATTTTTTATTTTTATTTTTTTTTGTGGGGGGGTGGCCGGTGGGGGTGTTTTTTTCATAGTAAATATTCTACCTTTTCTTTTCTTTTCTTTTTTGAATTTGGACTATTAAATATTTTTAGGTACTATCATAGAGCTCTGCTAACATTTTTACATGCAGTAAATTATTTTAAAAAGGCTTTTGCTTCCTTTCCAAGTTTCATTATGGCTTTTAATTCCGTTTCCTTCCATAAAGGAATCTCGTCATAATTTTTGAAATTTGATCTCACCAACTTAATTCTGTTATAGAGATGCTATCTTTACTAGCATCCATACATCAAAATACATCTGACTCTGAGAAGTGATCTTACCTTGAACTATCTCTTGGCGCCATGACTATTGCAACAGCTTCTGGCAGCATAATCTAAAGAAAGAAGCATTTGCATAAGAAATGAAGAAAAAGTATAAAGAAAATGCAGGATGTGTGTGTGAGCACGTGACAGGATAGCCCCATCTTGTATAGAAACAATAGCGAAAAGAAATGTAACGCATACGGTTACTAGGGCAACAAGGATGAGGTGAATAAAGGTTAAGATGGGAATTTATGTTGTAACTATCCTACACAGTGGCAGGGAGGACGGAGGGAAGTGAGGTGTGAAATCTGTCCAGTTAAATGATAAAAAAGCTAATCATTCGGTAAGGATTTAGGGTCTTATGGCAGGGGGGAAAGGATACCCTCAAAGATCTGCAAGGGAATTTCCCTATTTTCCATTGTTTCTTATCAGTAAAAAAAAATGTTCCTATCAGTTATCAAAATACCAATACATAATAGTTTGATTACAAAGCCAAAAGAAAAGGATTTTTCATTTTTATTCTAACTTATATGTTCTGCATGAATTATATTATAAACTATATAATCAGTAAAGAAAGATCAATAACTAAATCTAGGATGATCAGTTACAATAATTCACTTCCATAAAATAGAACAAGAAATTTGAGCTATAAGTAACGTATAAAACATTTCCATATTCCCCAAAGATGAAGCAAAGAGCATCCGTTAGAAATTAACTAAAATTAATGAACTCACCTGATATGAGTAATGGGTATGCAGATCAATTGACGACATAAAACAAGATTGTGTAGGATGTGTCTGGCAATTCAGAACAATATATTTCAGAGTTTATTACACCAGGACACTAATAAAGTAAAAAAATAAGAAATTCAGATAAACAATATATTTTCCAATAAGCCAAATTAAGTCTGAGTGACACAACGAGAAATTCCATTTTACATCATTCCTCGAATCATTTTTCAGAAAGAAACAATTTTTCGCAACCCGAATAAGTTTCCTCCAAATGCAAAATTTGAAAACTCACATGGATCCACCCAAGGGGGAAAAGAGATCGTTTATCCTGCACTTCAAATATTTCCTCTTCATTTGTAGTCTGACACTGCTCAGCAAGAACAACAATAAATGTGACATTTACAGAATAAATAGTAGTAATACATATTTCCCACAAGATTTAAAATGAAAGAATTCTTACAGAATCTGATGTTGACTCCTGCTTTGGGATTATTAGAGCAGTAATATAAAATTTTTTGTTTTTCTGCAGATCAGGTGTGTTTACAAAATAACAGTCAATATCTCACAGTTGAACTAAAGTATTGAAGGCACAAGACACTAGTTAGGAAGCGCTACGACATTTGGGAAAACTCCACAAACTAGTATATAAAAATACCATGCATCTAAAAAGTTGATACAAAACACACATAACCAATAGACAAAAAAATACCATGCATCTAAAAAGTTGATACACAAACACACATAACCAATAGACAAAAAAAATGAAAAATGTTATTGCAGTAACACAAGACTGTAAATATACGAAACAGTTTCTTTCAAATAAATTTAGGATTTTCGTTTTATCCTTTAACATAACACAACAAACTTTCCTACACTCACAACATTTTGTGGGGTCCACACTTTTTAAAACAAAAAAATAAATAAAAAATTAAGGCACGCAAAACGAATCTCTATAACATTACACAATCACTTTTCTTACAACATAACTCTTATAAAACCCATAAATTTATGGTTGAAGGGTTTCCAGCAATGGGTTAGTTACTATTTCTAGTTAGTTAATGCACAATTCAATTTGGGGGTCCCAAGCTCCTTTTGGATCTATCTTTGCAAGTTGTTTTACATAAAGACTAAAAATTGTTAACAGAACTTACAAGCAAACCAGCAAGGACACCGCAAGTCTCTAAATTTTTGGCAGTATTCGCCTTGGCAAGCTTCATAAAATTCTCCATCAAAGCAGTTGACTGAAAATAGAAATTAGAATGGGGGGAAATAATGTAAGATTTTATTCAACGTCTAATATTTTAGAAATCAGAAGTATATTAGAAGAAACTAAATACTCAACACGAACTTAGCTATGCATCCCCAGAAATGTCAACCTAAAGAAAAGAATAAATCAAAGATAGATAAAATATTGTTATTGACTCTCACAATGTGCAGTTGCAGAGGAGACTCAGCATGAACACAACTATCTGATGATGGAATCTCTGTCTTACATCCTGCCCCATTAACATGAGGTGACACTGCAGGTACCAAATCTTGTACTTCAGCAAGCACAGGTGGAGGAGAAGGCTGTCTGATAACTTCTACTTGAGCAGAGGTTTCTGTTGCTTCAAAAGAGATAAGAGAAGGAGGTTCCTGAGCATGCTGGGGCTGGCAATCCTCAAGCTGGGTAAGAATTGAATATAAATCCGATTTATTGTGTTCTCCAATGCTATTATCTTTGTTATTCAGAGATTCAGCTTCCAAGGAATGTTGTAGGCTGTATTTTCAGAGAAAGAATCAGTAGGATGGACATTGTTAATATATAAAATAAATAGAAAAACCAGCTCACATATGCATCATGGACTACAAACTTACTTTTAAAATATTGAACTCCATATGAATCACTGAACCCTTTTAAAAGATAACTTAAAATAAAGTTCCATCATTTTAAAAAGGCTAGAAGAGACATACAACAGCACTTTTTTCTAACAGTTACTAGAAGGTCAAAAATAGTGAAAAACACTACAGAAACTTGAAATAGGCAACAACCTTGGTATTTCAATTGGAGACAGATCTATGTTGGTTGGATACCTAACCTACATCCAGAGAGAAAAGTCAGAATGATCTTTGAATAGATAGAATTGTAACATACAGACATAAACTAGCATACCCCATTATCAGTGGTAGGTGGCCGCCACTGCCCTTTAAGTCCATTGGGACCAAGGATAGAATGTCTTGAGAGAGTTTCCTCCTTTGGAGGTGGGAGAGTTAAGGATCTACAAAAGTAAACAAAAATGCACGAAACCTCTTAGTCAAACAATATTTTTACAAAAAATGCAAGACAATTAGTATGTGAAATGCCCCAAAAGGCCAATGCACACTAAATTTTTTAATTTCTATGCCGTGATACTAGATCAAATGAAAAGAATAAAATTGTAGATACCAGAAATGATACTTCCATTTAGAGTATATTCTAGAAAAAAGGAGTGGGGCTAGTGTTGAAAACAATTTAACTGCTCAGTAAGCAGAAAGGTCATAAGGGGTGAGTAATTCTGTTAGCAATTCTGTTAGGGGAAATGAAGGGCAAAAGAATGTGGGAATACCCATCAAACACATCATTATAAACAGGGAGGTTTTTTTTTTTAGAAGAGGCAGGCTGGGATTAGGACTGGACTTGGGAGAAATCAGAGCTTCTCTAATTGCTCTGAGGTTTGTTTTTCTTTTCTACAATTGTTCTTTTGAATCTTTACTATTTTCCATATTGTAGCCTTTGTACTGTCTTCTTGATATCACACTGATATCAATAGAATTAATACAAATATTCAGTTGTGTTCTGTCTTTTCGTCTATTTCTTTTCCTTCTTGAAAATGAAATGATAAAATTGTAGATACCCATATCATTTTTCTTAACCCAAATTGCCATTGGACCTTGCTTTATTGGGTTGCTGGTTCATGACGGTTTAAATTTGTTTCCATTTTCTCATTTTTGGACATTTCCTGAATCCTTCGGTTTATGGTTTATTTTTAATTTATTTACAGATGTTTAAATTTCTGCTTTTAATCTTTTTCATTTTTTTGGCTTTCATAACATATTCAGAGGTTTTCCAATCAAATTCAGAAACAGGAAATCATATCCACTGACATCTTAAAATTTCATAGTGTATATATATCCCAATACTCCATACTGTTGGAAACAAAGACATATTGTACTTTACCAAACTGATATAACACAGGAAAAGGAAATGTTTTAACTAATCCTTGCTCACTTGACTAGATCGAATTTTATATTATAAGAAGTAACACAGTAATGTGAAAATCTAAATTATTCTTATTGAGATATATAAAACCATTAATGTAGCCTCACCCAATAGCTTAAGTTTTTCGGTTGAATTGGTTCTTTACATGGTATCAGAGTCTCGTGTCCCGGGTTCGATCCTCACCGCCCCCCCACTTTCTCTTGTGGAATTTTCTTTCTTGGCACAGGGATGGGCCTGTGCATCGTCCACCCTTCAAGCCCAGTGGGCTCTCGTGTGAAGGGGCGTATTGAGATATATAAAACCATTAATGTAACCTCACCCAATAGCTTAAGCTTTTGGGTTGAAGTGGTTCTTTACAATTCTTACAACAGAAGTACAGATAAGTCGATAGGCACACTAATAACATTGCACAAGGAAGACTATCTAGCATTATCCACTTCAAAATGCTGAAGTTTTCTTATAGGATATTAGAAAGTAACCAAGCAGATGAATGAAAGTTTCACTTAACTTCATTCTTGTGAAGAAAGAAAGTGCAATTATCTATGAAGTACCTATTACCATAAAGATGCCAATTATACATTCCTGATGAGTCCAATACTTACAGTCTTCGCATATGCTCTTCCACAGGCCTAACATAAGAGAACTGTTGGCCCCTTGATCCTTGGTAATTTAACTCTCCAGCAGTTGGTCTGACTGCCTGGTCAAATATACAATAACATATGGATGTAAAACTTCTTTTCAAGGGGAGCAGAAAAATAGAATAGATGCATTCAACCAACAATATTGATAAAATTTCAAGAAAGGATTATTGCTGGTGACAGCTTCAAAGCAAATTCTCGTGCAAATTTTACCTTCAATGAGCCATAACTAGGCAAAGTTTGTGTTTTCACAGGAGAAAAATCCAATGAATTATTTGAATGAAATTTTCCCTGCCCATTTTGTTCGTATGCATGTCTGCTATTAAGCTCATTGATCTTCTGTTGGACCAGTGGTTTCAACTTCTCCAGTTCAATCACAGAATTTACCAATTTCTACAGCAAGGACGTGAAAATCAGATTACGTCCAAGATTTTATAACAAATTTTATTCAAAGAGTCTAAAGTTAACCTTTTTCAGTGATTGTTTCTTGCTTTGTGGAGATAATCTATAATCTCGATGACGTGGTATTGTTTCAGACACCAAACTAAAAAAAAACAAAAGGAAGGACCCTCAATTAAGTTTGATGACAAAAGTACAAATACAAATACAATGAACATTCAACGGAAGACAGTCATATTATGAGTCAAATATTGATACAGGCCACCTTGCATTACCTAGAAAATCTCAGAAGCATGACATATAGGTCAATAATATTCTTCTCCGCACGAAAGATATCAGCCTGCAATGTCAAAATCAATAATTGGAGCTGAGAGTCATGCAGAACAACTAAACAATAAATGTATCTTTAAAAGAAGGAAACATGACCACATGAACATTAAACAAAATTAAAGCAGGACAATAAATTCAAGAGTAGACAATATATTTTCAGTATAAGCAACTATCAGTAGTACCGTGAGATATGTTATCTATAGAATAAATTAATTATCAGCAATATGTGTCATAATAACGTAATAACATAAGTACAAGGAAAAGGCAAAGATGAAATTAGATAGTGACATTCATGCATGTCATTTTTCATATCCCTCTGATCAAGTACTAATTTACTATCTGATGGAAAATACTAAATATAAAATATTTTATTTTCACAATAATTATTCTCCATTCTCCAACAGATATGAAATTTAATGAACATAACCTAATAATATGCTTACATATTCAAATCTTACTGCGCATTTGATGGTATAAATAAACTATGGATTTAATGTTTCTTGTGAAGCTGGAGATAACTTCACCTCATGCTTTCACATGATCCACTCTCTCGTGAGTAGGAAATAAAGTTATCTCCATCTCGTACGAGAAACATAAATCCCATAAACTACTTAGTATTTGGTAAGGAGCTACTGTTGAAAATTGCAATATCTCACTAAACCTTTTTCTCTATCTCGCCCATTCTCCTCCCTTATCCTCTCCATACACACATATACTTCATAAGGTCTATGAATTGAAAGCATACAAATCCCAAAAACAAAGCAAATAGCCATCTTTAAAAAAAATTAATTAATTAATTAAATTTTACTTTATTTTTTTTAAGAAAGAGGAAATGAATGACTGGGGTACACTGAAATCAATCAAAACCTTATTAAACCCTTACGTTCCCCAAATACAACAATAAAAAAAAAAAAGTTTAAAAGCATCAATTTTTATCAAGACATTGAAACCTATCTATCACTGTTCCTAAGGAATGGATAAAACCTTTCAAAATTTGAAAAGCCCCAAATAGCATCATGAAGGTGGAAGAAGGTAAAGGGACCTACCTGTCTGAGGATGTTATCGGCGATCCGATGGTAGAAACGTAGAGCGATTCGATTGTCGACATCGAGTTTCTGAGCACTGGCAGCGATGTTGATCGTGTCCGAAGAAGAAGAAGACCTCATTGTTTTCTTTATTTCTCAGAACGCAGCGTTTCACTGTCTTCTTCTTCTTTCTTCTTCTCAGAGACACGACAACATTAACAGCGTTGGGGAAACGAACGTCAATGGCAACTTTGATCAGGTTTTGGGGATGAGGTGATTTCCATTGAAAGAGGGATTGTAATTTTTTTGGGGTTGTGAGGGCAAATGTGGAAACGCATCAATACCTAAAATCAAAACACAGCAAATGATTTTAATGGATTATTTGTAGATAAAATATTCTTCGTTGTTCAATTAGAATTTTAAAAGATTGAAAAAAGTCACGAACTATTCGATTAGGGGAAGGATATTGCAACAACTAAGTTGTGTTACTACCAATCAATCAATCTCACCGTTAGATTGATTATGTTGATCCAACATTATATTTATTTTCATCTTTGTATGGTTATGATTCCCCATATTTAATACTTTATATTTATTTTGGAAAATCATAACCATACAAAGATGAAAATAAATATAACTGTTGGATCAACATAATCAATCTAACGGTGAGATTGATTGGTAGTAACTTGGTAGTAACATAACTTGGTTGTTACAATATCCTTTCTCATTCAATTAGATTTTAAAAATTTATTTTAGAGGATGTATTGGATTGAGATTTCAAATGATTTTAATGGATTGTTTTTGGATAAAAAAATCCATTGGTATTTGATTAGAATTTTAATGGATTGAAAAAAAGTCATGTGGTATTCAATTAGGATTTTAAAAGATTATTTTAAAATCCTTCCAAATTCGTTAGTATTCAATCAGGATTTTAAACAATGGAATCACAATCTCGTGTTATTCAAAAATTCGACGATTTTAATGGATTATCTATTGGTGTGGATTTCGTGCAACTTTTTAGTGAAAAATATAAATGAGATGTCTCTCACAATCTCACCCTAACCCCTAGGATTTCTTGAAATTCTTCTATTGCAGTGTTTTCTTCTTCCTTTGGTAGGTTGACGGCTCGAAATTGGGTTCCATCATGGGAGCTTCATCAAAACTAAAGAATATATATATATTTTTAAGCGATTTTCATCACAAAATAACTCAGAACAAATAAACCAACGAGATTTTAATATAATCTATATCAAAAATAGCATATTTTTTAGCCAATTTTGGGAAATTTGGAAGTTTAAAAAGTGATTTTTCAAGCTATATGTCGCGGCTTTTCTTCGCACAAAAATGTGTGATTTTTGTATTAAAAATAACATAAAACAGTGAAAAAATAACAGGGGAACTAAAATCCTCAAACCAATTTTCGTTTTACATCAATGAAACAATATCAATTTAAAGAAAAATAGAAACTTTCATAATACGAACCCTATATTTCGTAACAATACATTCATGAACGAAATTTCTTCACTATAGAAAACGATTTCAAACAATTTTTGTGTCAATAGATAACTAAAACTTGTTTCTCAAAAGCCCCAAAGTAATTTAAGGTTTCAATGTATCGATTGAAAAAAAATTGAGAAATTTTCTAAACTTTCATGTAATTAAACCCAAAATTTCAGATTCGAAATTTTTTTAGAATATTCAATGAAAATATGCATATGATATATGGTTAGAAAACTCTCATAACGTAAAACAAAAACCCCAAGGTTTTCAAGATTAATTGCAAAAAATTTCAAACGAAATTTTATCATGAGCTTTAGGTTCTATATTCAAATTTAGAATTATTTTTACAATTAAAAAAATTTGGGTCTTATAATCATATATGCATAGCTTTGATACCAAATGAAGAAGATAATTTTCAACCCATTAGATATGTGAAAAATTGTTGTTTAGTAATTTTGAATGTTTGTTAAAAATTATATTATGTTTTACTGATTGAGAAAAGTATATTATATTTTATTTTATTTTTATTAATTTCATTGCATTTCTTTGTTATTTTTTTTACGAGGAAAATTATACTTACAACCTATTTTTGTTTACAATCTTTTACACCATATCTTAACCGTTGATTTCCGTCAATCAATGGTTATTATTTTCGCAAATCAAACTCATTAATTAATATTTAATTTGCAATAAATGATAACCGTTGATTGACGAAAATCAACGGTTAAGATATGGTTGTATAATGTTGTAAACAAAAATAGGTTGTAAGTATAACCTTTCCCTTTGTTATTGACTCTTGTAATTTTGAATATTTGTTAAAAATTCATATGATTTTTTAAAATCTTATAAATCCATATTGTCCTTTCAAATCTTATAAATTCTATTAAAATCCTTTAAAATCCAATCTTAGGAAATCTTGATTGAAAAAAAAGTCTTTTAAAAAAGTTTTTAAAGTCTCTCCAAATCTAAATAGTCTTTTAAAATCTATAAAAAAATTTAGCTCAAAAAAATCTTTTAAAATCCTAATCCAATACACTCCCTTAGAGTATGTCCTCGGTGTTTAATCAGGATTTTAGACAAAATAAAAACAATCTTGTGCTATTCAAAAATCTGACGATTTTCATGAATTTTCTATTGATACGAATTTTGTGAGACTTTTTAGTGAGAAATATAAATAGTATGACTCTCTCACAATCTCATCCTAACCCTAGAATTTCTTGAGATTTCTCTATGTCTTCTTCTTCATTAGGCGGGTTGACCCACTCGAGATCAGATTTCGAGCTCGAAAATAGCAAATTTTTGAGCAATTTTTGTGAGTTTTCGCGAGATTTTTCTTGGCATAAAAAGTATGTTTTTTGTATTAAAAACAACATAAAACTAACAGGGGAACTAAAACCCTCAAACCAATTTTTGTTTAACAGTAGTGAAACAATATCAATTTAAAGAAAGATTAAAATTTTCATAACATAAACTCTATATTTCGTAATAATACATTCATGAACGAAATTTCTTCACTATATAAAATGATTTCAAATAATTGTTGTGTCAATAGATAACTAAAATCTTATTTTTCAAAAGCCTAGCAATTTAAGGTTTCAATGTATCGGCTGAAAATAATTTGAGAAGTTTTCTAAACTTTCATGTAATAAAACCAAGAAATTCATTTTCAAATTTTTCTTAGAATACTCAATAAAAACATACATATGATATATCATTAGAAAACTCTCATCACGTAGAGCAAAAACCCCAAGGTTTCCAAGATCAATTGTAAAAAATCCAAACAAAATTTTATCATGAACTTTTATATACAAATTTAGAATTATTGTAATAAATAAGAAAATTTGGTCTTATAATCATATATGCATAGCTCTGATACTAAATGAAGAAGATAATTTTCAACCCATTGGTCAACCCAAGAGCAAGAACGAAAAAATGTTAATACGTAGAGGACTGGTATAACTTTAAATATGTGGAGAGTTGTTGCTTAATATTTTTGAATGTTTGTTAAAAATTATATTATGTTTTACTGATTGAGAAAATTATATTAGGTTTTACTTTTTTTATTAATATCATTGCATTTCTTTATTTTTTATTGACTCTTGTAATTTTGAATATTTGTTAAAAATTTATGTGATTTTTTAAAATCTTATAATTCCATATTGTCCTTTTAAATCCTATAAATTCTATAAAAATCTTTTAAAATTTAATATTATGAAATCTTGATTGTAAAAAAAGTCTTTTGAAAAAGTCTTTAAAGTCTCTCCAATTTTAAAAAGTCTTTTAAAATCTATAAGATTTTTTTATCTCAAAAAAAAAAATTAAAATCTTAATCTAATACATATTTATGTCAATTATAAAAAGTTTTGTCTATTAAGCATACATATCTTGTACCCCAAATTATGTCCTCCTCTCGGGCCACCGTTCTGCCACCACTATCCTCTCAAAACAACTTTCGATGGGAAATGTGGTTATGTTTGGCAATTGTAGTTTATGAGCCAGCTCTTACCATTATTAAACAAAAATTAATGTTTTTAATGGTGTAGGAAATAATTTTATCTCCTATGTACACATATAAAAATAAGTAGGGCTTATATAGGGGGAGAAAATATGGATCCCATATATTTTTATGTGTCTATAGAAAATAAAATTTATCTCCTACACACATAAAATGTGTGGGATCTATGTGAAAAGAAGAAAAAAAAAATATATGGACCCCAAACTCTTGTACGTGTGTATAGGAGATAAAATTATATTTTATCTCCTATAATATTAGAAAAACTAATCTCTTAAAAAAAAATCAAGGGGTAAAGAATTCTCTTAACTTAAAAGATTAAGTTGTTAAATAAAAATTATATTAATAATTTTATATTTTTTCCACTTATATAAGATGCAAAATTTCATAATATTTAACTATTAATTGCTAGAATGTGTTGGGATATTCAATTGATTTGTAATAGGTGAAGTGAAAACCATATAAGAGGACTAATAAATTGTAGGATGTTTTGATTTGGTGTAATTTAGCTCATCTGTGGTAGTGCCCCTACTATAGGCTCCCAGGACCTGTTCGACAGAAGAGGGTGATAAAGATCAAATTTGTGATCATTTGGTGATAGAAATTCTGATACTGTATTTACCAAAAAAAATTCTGATATTATATAAAATATTATTTTAACTCAACAACTTAATACATAAAATGAATATTACATTAATAATTTTATATTATATTACTAAATATAAAATAGCTCCTTACATTAAATTGCTCGACTAGATCATCTCTAAGGCATTGCCTTGTAGTTAGGGGTGTTAACGGGCCGAGCCGAGCTTTGGTCTTAACGGGCCAAGCCTGTATTTAAACGTGTCAGACTGGCCTTAGCCTGTTACCTGTTACGAATATAATATTGGCCTGAGGCCTGGTTTATTTACAAAAATTAAAAGCCTGTGTGAAGTCTGTCTTAGCCTGCTAGCCTGTTAAAAAAAAATTTAAGAGAACAGAATTTCACAAAAAAATAATTTCCAGATAGAAACCTTAGCTTCCAATTTGCAGCAATAATTTACAAAGTCTAAAATAAATAAATATAATTAAAGTGAGAGAAGGTAGATAACATGTTATATTATCTTTGCCCTTTATAAAAAAAGTGCCAACAAAAAGAAAAAATAAAAAATAAATTGACGCAAACGAGCAGTGCACAGTGGAACGAATAAGTTTTTGGGGTGAAATGGATTGAGGAGAAAGAGAGGA